AAAAAAAAAAAACGCGCGCCTACAGCAATCAATTTAAGATATAAGTCCCAACATAAATTATAATCAATTTCCTTAAAAAACTTATTTTATCTTATACATAGTTATTTTATTAACTTTACAGCAGTTGCACTAATGTGGTCCTATTGTAGTGCTGAATAAAAATTTATCAGCTTGATGGGTCGAAAAAACATTTCTGTTTTTGATACGTATATGCATAAATGTCATACTGATATTGCTATGAAGCTATACGTTATTAACAACATTTGCTCCATGATGGCGGTGTTAAATTCATAGGTGTACTTTTCTAATCCGTGATGGGATTTTTATAAAGCAAACACGGTAAAATGTCATTTCATGCACTCACCACCGAAATGCTGTCCTTCGTGCAGCCTTCACTCTGTTCGATGTCCATGCTTACGAATTTGGCTAGGATTGAACGACTGCTTTCCAACAAAATTGACCAAGAGCATGTCAGATTGTTGTCATACTGATCGGGATAATTGGGACTATGCAACACTTGATCGAACACTCCCATTGATGTTTGTATGTAGTGGAACGACTGACATACTAAATTTTACTGGTAACCGTTGGTAACGGTTATCAGCGAAACACCGTAATCCTCGAAAAAAAAAAAAGAAAAACGAAACAAAACGTCATGCGTTCAACTGTAGTGAGAGAAAAAATTAAATGTACCAAGTCTGTACTCAATAACAAATCCTTGCCCGGCTCTATTCCGATCGGTCATGAAATAGACAGATACCACTTCATCTGAGTTAAATACTTCTCTGCTTCCCACATCTTTGTGTTTGCAGTATTTTGCAATGTCACCCCTGTAATTTGCTAGTTTTTAAATTTATTTTCGCTTAACATTACTTCCAAAAGTGCGAAACAAACTTAGCCCGAAGGTAATTTCAAGTATGCCCAGCTGCACAAAATATTAATCCCTTGAGGAATCTTGTGTCTTACGTGAGTTGTCCATCCTCGTAAGTCACAAAGTTTGCGTCCGACGAAATAGCAACATAATCAAATCGGCAATCAACATGTTCTTCCAGATCCATTGATATGATTTTGAGTAACAGTCCGGTGAACATCGGGCGAACGATCGTCCAACGGCATTTTAAATTATCCGCGTAGCCTCCGTGCCCTATAATAATAGAGACATGTTTGAAGCACTGACCTAGGCTTTTAGTTACAAAAGCATAAAACTGCTTTTTTGACTTCATGCGTTAATGAAATATAATAATAAATAACGGCACGCAATTGGGTAGCAGGTGCAGTCATGTGTTTTGCGCAGTTCTGTCTAGCAGACGTTCGCTGTCAAGAACATTCACTGCTTTACAGTTAGTATATGCAAGAATAGTTGGAATGTTGTGTTTTCCCCGAGCTACGAAATTTCCTACCAAAAATGTCATACGTCCGGGGATGTATGCGTATTTGAGATATACGAACAAAAAATATCTGTTAAAAATTATTTTTCTATCTTGTTTGGTTTCAAAATTAAAAGTTCTCACATGAAATATCATGTATCCACAAGAAAGATGGAAAAGAATATGAAAACTGAGTTCATAATCTCAAGGGTCACTCATTAGAAGGAAGAATCATCCTAAATTTCTAGCTTTCATATATTCCGGTTCCTGAGACAGAATTCCCCACCAAAACTTTCACGTGTCCGGGAATGAGATCTAGCCATGCCTGTGTCTTCGCATATGGGCAAGAAACATCCTCCTAAAATTTCGGTTTTCAAGCTTTTCTGATTCTCGAATTAGCAAATTTCGGCCAAAACTCCCACGTGTCCGCAATGAAATCCAGGCGTATGAATTTAAATCTGAGGGGATCGCACACAGACATGAAAAATTCTAAAATTTCAAGCTTATGGTTCTTCTAGTTCCTGAGTTTAAAACCCCAGATAAAACGTACCCTGAACACACATACACAGACAGGATAACGACAGTGTGCATTTTGTGCAACTGTTGCAGCACAAAACGCACAAAACCGACACTGTGATTGTGCCTGGTCGGCTGGGACGGAAATGCTTTTCGTCAAAATAAGCACGATCTGTAGGTTGCACTATATATTCACAAAAGCGTTTTCGGTGAATTATTCTAACAAGCTGGAATAGTCCTGAATTCTCCAGGCGTCTTTGGTGAAGTCAGTATTGAGTAAGCAATTATCAAAATAAATCAGCGGGTTATTAAGAAACAACAGGTACTGATCCATCCGGCAACCATTTCGCATTGCCAAAAAATGAAATCACTTCACAGCTTAGGACCAAACGTTTGCGCGGCAAAGCTCACATCTTAGTAGGCGATACATATGCAGAGTGCGCCACGGCTCCAAAGTGGTGGTTTGTGGAGGAATGGTTGTGAATTTTCCATCTGCATCCGTAGCGCCAGGATTTGTCAGATACTGTGGTTTATATGTTGCTACTAATGTGCCGCCGCAATCGAATTCTGTAATTCGCGATTATATGTGTTCATCTTTGCACAGTTATCCGCGCCAATTTATTTTTGCTTTTTTTTCAGATATTAATAAATATCAACAAGGAAATGCCGTAAAAAATGCCATAAATTGGTTTCCTGGATGTACCGATCAATAAAAAATTCCCACTACTCCACAGTTCCTCCAGGCATTAATATCGTTTTTTTCTACCTCACTAAAGACCGGAAAGTCAACTACTAAATACAAGAAGTACATCTATTATAATCTATCCTGTATTCATTTTCCATTACTTTCTTACCAGCTGTTAACTTCCTTTAACTTATATGCACGACTAAAATTATCAAGACTTCCGGCGTTATGAAAGATATCGCATATTTGAAAATTACAGTTTTTAGAACAAATAATGAATAAATGAATCTTACTGACCTGGCATCGAACCCTCACTGCCTGTTTTATTCGTCTGCAGGAGAGAAGCATTGGCTACAGCAACAGAAATACCTTCCCACACGAATCGGAATGAGCTTCCGGGAGGCGCGTTGAATAAAACAGTTGAAAACGGCGATCGGATCAGAAAATCTAAATCGAAACTGTTTCACTGAATTAAAGAATTACTAGTTGCCTGCCAATCTGATTGCGAATTCAGAAAAGTGATTCCAAAACGAGGTAGTGACAGAATTTACGTATGTGGCAGACTAACTGTGGTAAACTCCTGAAGCGCTTTTTATAGACATTTCATCGTGGAACAGAAAGGAATGAATTACTTTGGAGTTATTGGCTCTTAGTATCCGAAAACACAAAATACTTTTCTCTACCCTAGCTACCTAAAACTAAAATATCGGTATTACGTTTTACAACAGAAGACAGAACAAATTGAGGAACTGATATACTGCAAGCTTTGGACCGAAAATTAGAGCACAATCATTATAAGTTACATTGTGCGCCCGCGCATTCTACGCAAGTGTCCTTTTAGTTTACATAGCCACGTGTGGAGGAACTTGGGGGGATGTGGCTGCGCAAATTAAATTTTCAGCTTTTATGAGTTGCATACAGCGTTAATGTATGGGTAAGAGTAACTGCAACTGAGAGACATGCGGGACGTGGGTCCTCTCAATTACCTCCCTCACACGCATAAGAAAGACTCCGATGAGGTCAGTGCTCAGCTGCGTATGGAAGGCGGTCTCTCAGATCATCCCAAGAAAGATCTTCACACACAAAGCAGAATTCAAGCCATGGAGCGTAAGACATACTGTCATAAAAACAACACAACTGTAAAAAACGTTTTCGAATAAAAAGTTGAAAATTTGTTATGTGCCTGGTGGTGGCGAATATCCGGCATGCACGAATGCAACGCGCCCGCATCCACTATTTTCACCAGTGAGCGCGCAAATCCCCTCATTGAACTGCAAACAATTTTTTCATAATCAACAGACTCAGAAAAGAACTATTGTCACTATGAACAGGAAAGTGACGGTAATTTTGCTCTGGCACCTCAAGTTGAATCACCGTATTGTCCAGACCCAAACAATGCAACCAAAATTTTTTTTTTGTTTTTCCCTTCACCTGTTAAGCAGCGTTACAAAAACTAGCAAAGGATTTTGAAAGCGAAGCAAAAATAGCTAGCAAAATTGCATCATTTTTTATGCGTTTTGTGCTGTGTAACAGCAGTACAAAACGCATATTGTTACGGGGTTGTCT